GAAAAGGTTAGAAGCGTTCGAAATGTGGTGTTATAGGCGGATGATGAGGATATCGTGGGTAGAAAAGGTTAGAAATGAAGAGGTATTGGAAAGAATAGGAGAACAGAGGACTCTATGGAAGTCAATAAAAAATAGGCGAGATAGGTTGATAGGACACCTTCTCAGCCATGAAGGTCTAGTCAGAGACATATTAGAGGAAGAAACGGAAGTCAGGAGGGGTAAAGGTAGACCTAGATTAGATTACTGTTCGCAAATAGTTAAGGACGTAGGCTGTTCTAGTTTTAGGGGAATGCGAAGTTTAACTCAGGATAGGAAAGAGTGGAGGTACGTGTCCAACCAGTCTTAGGACTGATTAAGTGGATACATCTTACTATAAATAAGTTGAACGTACACACTCAAAAGAGAGATTAGAAGAGAGTATAATTAGTATACAGGCCTTAGGTGCCTTCATCTCATTCAAGCGCTTTTTTCAAAACAACTCCATCTCCCATCAAACAAAAATCCGCGCATTCAACGCAATCATCAGAAGTATCTGCCTCTATGTGATCTGGGGCTGCGCTCATCCCTATCACCAACAAATCCTCCAAGGCACCTACATGCGGATTCTTCGCTTCGCACTCAATTACCCCTGGTTAGTCAGAAACGTCCAAATTCTGAAGGAAAGTGGTCTACCTTCACACCTCGAAGCTGCAATTAGATTCGCCGCAAACCTCCACACTTCAGTGTCAGGTCACCCAAACCTGTCCATCTCGACATTTTCCGACTTTTTCAGAAGGCCCTGCCACCTTCTACTCTGAGGTCTAAGCTATTGCCTTCCCCCTCATATCCAGTTTCGCTTTTCTAGCGCGAGTACCCACCCAACTCATCTGAGGTGTGCCACCGATTTCCATTTCATTCACTTTTTCCCCCTAAATCCCTAAATTATTCCTCCCCTATACTAAATCCCCTTTCCGTTCCCAACCTTTTCCACAAAACCTCCCCTGGGATGTAAAAGCTCCGGATTGATCTCCCTACTCGAGGAGGGGCGTATCCGCCACTACCTCCCTTCAGGGGTGTCTTTTAAAAGTTTCCCTTCCACGAGGAAAGACTAAAAAAAAAAAAAGGAACGACGGACAGAATTCTTTGTACCTTGCGTTTAGAACTGGATGAAACTATTAGCGGAACGCGCTCTGCACGTCCCTGATTAACGATTTAAGGAGAACTGTTGCCATTAAATGGGATAAAGACTATGGAAGGTACAAGTTATATGTTTTTACTATCAAATAGCTTCATACCCCTGTAAAATTAAAGTTAGTCAACTAAATACAATAAACGAATATAAAAATAAAAAGAATTGACACGAAGGAAGGCTTAAAAGTGCAAGTAAAGTAAAAAGTTCGTTAATTTTTAATTATTTTATGTGGGACACTTATAAGAATTCGGTAGGGTTAATTTTAATATGTTAAAGTGAATTGTAATGGTGCATGAAGCCAGAGACCAAGGTTAGATTCTCGGCGAAGGTGTGACAGAAGCAACAAATTTTCCTGAGGATGAAACTGATTTGAAAAACTGAATTAGAAGGTTTATTTCAGTAAAACTTCTGTATCACGACTTGAAAAATGACTTAATTATGACCAGCTTACATGAAAAAGTCAGAGTAAGGTGTTTTGAACATTTTCAATAGCTATTAAACTAAAAACAATTTTGACGTTGACTACAATCGAAGACTATTTATTAACAGAAAAATTATTCAAAACACCTCTCCCTCGATTTTTATCTCGTAAAAAACATGAACTAAAAACTGGATAGAATAGAAAAAGATACACAAATTTTATAAAGTAAGCAGTGTTCGTCATCTACGACTGGTCAATTGTTCAAGTAATAAATAATAAATAATAAAGTCTATTATCATAATACATAGGTGTACGTCAGTTATATGTGACATATTATGTCAATGTTCCAGAGTTGACACACGAATAAATTTTAGTCTTTAATGACAAATTATTAAAAGTACCCTTCCGTTTGGTACATACATTTGTGTTTTTATTAAAATTATTGTGGCAATTCAATTCGATTATATTCGATTTGATTTTATTTATACTTTAAATTAATCAATTTTCGAGAAATGTCGGGAGACGAATCGACTGCTAGCAGTGTCGACACAAGACATGATTGCTCCTGTTATCCTGACAGTGATGGCGACATATATTCAAGATATAAATCGCGTGCAATGAACGAAGAAAGTCAGCGATTCTTCAAAGAGGCGCTTAAATTTCTAATCGACGATGTAATCAATCTTCTTAGACGTCAAATCCTTTTGATCCGAGAGATAGAGACCAAAAAATTCAAGCAGGACGCGGACGTGACTTCGTATTTAGACGCTTTCGAAATAATCGCAGAACAAATAATTGGCCAACCTGATATGGCAAACGAATACCACAAAATGGGCGGTTTTGCCATATTCCCGCCATGTTTCCGATGTACCAATTCGAAAATTCGCGCCGCAAGTCTTAACCTCATGGCACAAATTTGTGAAAACGTCGCCTACTGTAATCAAATCGTGATAAGTTCTGATCTCTTTCATCTGATCCTCAAATTATTAGAAGAAGAGAAAGATTTAAAAGTTGCCAATGAGGCACTTAACACGATAGCCATCGTCCTAAGGAATAATTCGCAAGCTTACAAGACTTTTGTGCTACAGAAAGGGTTTGAGGTTATGTTAGGACTATTGCAAAAAGATGACGACAAGCTAAGGTCTAAAACGGCATTCAATTTGATGACGATCTGTCGCGCCGAGACTGGGGCGAAGAATCAAATGGTTTTGTCGGATTATTTGCCAATTTTGGTGACATTAATCTCACAACAACCAAAACCGAGTCATGAGCAGGTTTTGAAGTTGCTCGTGATGATAACGAAAAATAATAATAAGGCAATTGAGCAACTGAAGCAACCAAAGTATAGGATGCAGGATGTACTTTTGGAGTGTTGGCAAGCGGCCAAAAACTTGCCCAATTACGAAGAGATGGAAGAGCATTGCTTGGACCTAATGTCAATTCTAAATCTGCCGGAAATAACGTGAAATACGTATGATATGTAAAAATTGTTTTGCAACTGTCGTTTTTGAATGAAAGTATGTAAAAGTTTTTGTCATGAACATTTTTATTGAAAATAAACATCATCATAAAGTCGTCAGTCCTAATAAAACTAGTTGGACACGCACCTCCACTCTTTCCTATCCTGAGCTAATGCGATACTGATTTATCGTTTCGCATTTCCCTAAAACTAGAATATCCCACAACTATTTACGAACTCTCTAAACACCAAAAATCAGTCACTTCTTCTAATGAAAATAAACAAGTACATTAATAACAAATCTGTGCAGTAACCATTAAAAATAAGTAACTGATAACATAAAAAAATGTAGGTGTTTGTTGTACATGTAGTATTACAGTTTACAGAGAATTTCGGCAACGGTCATTCAGGCGGAAAGAGTAGCTAATTATTTTTTATATTTTGTGCGCTATGTTGATGCATATTTGTACGTTATTTATTAAAAAGCTTTGTAATGAACAGTGAATTCGAGGTGAAATGTCAGAAATCAACGTTTCTCATTTTATGTGGGACTACGGTAGGAAAACACAACACGCACGAACAATACGAATTAACGTTGTCGTGATTATGTCTAGTTTATATCAATTTTTATTAGAAAAATAAACACCGACATTTCGTCTTTCATTAAAACAACACCAGCAATAATAATTTTACAAAAACGTAACAAAAAACGTGCCTAATGAAAATTGGTAATTATGATTGTATTGGGATAGGTCTAATACGTCGTAATTTATATTATTTATTGATTACCATGCTAAATTATTCGTTATTTCGTTGTAGTTCTTCTGGTCTTCTTTTTTCGTGGGCAAGTATGTATTAGTATGTCCGAACTGTCACAATTTCTGTCGCTTGTTTGTATGTCAGATTTTCATTAACGATAACTTATTAGTATCATTTTATGATTATGCACCATGCAGACTTTTAATGTTTATAAACATTATACATAGGTTCGTTTCAACGGTTTCAAATTAGCCCCCTCGTTGAAAATCCTCTAACCAAGAATTAAAATTTCATTGGTTGATTGCCCAAACGACTATTTAATGTGGTTTGGGACATTAATGAGGGTAGTATTTAACGGAAAGCCTATCAGAACGAAGACATGAACCATTAATCGTGATGATGGTTTTGGTGTATCTCTAGTCAAAACTATAATTCACTAAAGATGCTTCATGAAGCTAGTTTTTTCTAGACAATCGGGTTTTTTACAGTAACGTACAGCCCATTTCAATTTGTTTGAATTGTGACCTTGAAGAAATCTGCGCGAAGATAGAAAGAATACACACTAGGCGTAAGCAAGACAGAAATAGTTGGAACAAGCTTGAACGAGCAGAGCTCTCGGTGGGAACTGTACAGTATTAGACGAAAATGTTTAGCAATTTCTTAAAACAAAAATGTATATAAATTAACAATAGAAAACAAAGCAAAAGTTTTATAGGTCTGTAGAGCGTTAAGTTAATTCACTTGTTATGTTTTTTGACTAAATATGCTTTCAAATAAAGCTTATTCTTAAATTTTAACGAGAGGCAGTTTAAATAATTTTGCAAATGGTACTGTACACTTTTGTCTAGCTTTCGCTTGATGATCGGTGAAGGAATGAACTACGCAGACAAAAATGATTGAATTTGGAATTATGCTACGGCGCATCCTAATAAAGGGAAGGGGCATATCTCCAACTTCTTGAAACGAACAGTAAGTACCAATTCCAAAATTTGAATTGAATGGGATGTCTAATCAGGTTTTTAATTTTTAATTTCAACGAAACAACTATGAAGGGACTGAAGGAACAAAAGAAGCAGTATAAGGGTCCAATTTTGGCTCCATGTCAAAAAAAAAATGTAGGTCACACGGTCTAAAAGGCCTGGTTTCAACATCACATTTCGCAGTTGTTGTTGTTATTGTACAGTGACCAACATCGGTGTAGGTACCTATCGCACTTTTTCGTTCCTCTTATTAATTAAATCGTATTTTTCGTCGAATGTAACGTTGATATTGCGCCGTAACTTGAGAGGTCCATCTTAATTTGGCGGGCAATAAAAATTTTTCGTTATAATAATTAAGCGGTAGACTGGACTTACGATGAATCGAGTTCGGTAACGAGTTTCTTACGCCAATTAGGTGCAATGCCGGCCACTGGTGCCGCCGTCAGTTCACCGAAATATATGTCACTACATTTCCTCTCGGTTGTTTTAATTGCTAATAACTTCGTTAGACATTGGTATTAAATACACGTAAGTGTGTAAATCTCGTCCAAGAGTGTACTAATACCACGTTTACTGCCCGAATCGTCGTTAACTCTTAATTACTAATCAATACTTGTAATTGTAACGAGAAATTGATGCATTCCTGTAATAACAGAACACACTGATTTCACAGGAAATTCCAATCGCAAACATCAACTTACGAAACGTTCAACGTTATATTTTATTACGTTATTTTGATGTTAGCAGATATTTATAAGGTGGTTAATGTAGATATGGACATTAAATTTTATATAATTGAAGTTGCGAAATTGCAAACAATTACCTATGAGTTATCTTCATGATGTTCTAGATAAATTCATTTGAAAACTTATACCTACGTCTCTTTTAATCAGTGTAAACTAATATTATACATTTAGTAACGTTTTCTTATAATATTGTTACCTAAATTGTAATCTTCGACAAAAGGACTTAAGACCGTTTATAATAATAAATAGATAAATAAATAAAACTAAATTCTAAACAATTATTGTAGTTATTTAGTAACTAGCTGCTCATTTCTCTATTCTCGCGAAATTGTTATAATAATATTTTTTTGAAGCTTTTGTATATTGTCAACGTAAATACTTTGATATGTACAGTTGATACAAAAAAATTACAGCCGATGCTACGTGATGTATTATGTCAAGTTATATCACATCAGTGTTTGTAACTCCTTTGGAGATATACAGATTATGCGAAAAGTTACGTAACACTGATATAGTAAGTTCATCATATACAGCTAAGGTAAAACGTTCATGGAACATAGAAATTAGAGATGAGCCGATTAGACGTTTTGGATCCGGTACTCTACGAATCCGGCAGTTTTTATGATCCGTTCCGGGTACCGGATAATGATTACGCCGACTACCTGGCAGTGTCTGGTAATTCTACCAGTGAAAAAAGAAAAAACAAACATCATCAATAATATACAAGGGCAAAAGATCAGTAAGCTTAAATTTGCGGATGAGAAAGCAGTATTAGCATCTAACAAGGAGGATTTGGAGATAACGATTAATTTAGAAATTCGAAAAAGATTATTAAAATTTATGTTTGTAGCGCGGCGGTGTAGGGGTGCGAAAAAATGGACGGTGGACGCGGTGGAAAACAAAAAAACTAGAAGCGTTAGAATTTGGTATTACAAGCGAATGATGAATATACGGTGAATACAGAAGGTTAGAAATGAGACAAAACAGAGGATTCTATGGAAGCCACTAAGAAATAGGCGAGACTTTTAGTGAAAATACGACAAATGACGCTGTAAACGCCATCTGTAGTACAGTGCTACATTTTAGGATTACGTATGCTTCAGCAAGGTCCATTTAAATATATGGATATCTACTTGCTGAAACGAATCCCGGCGTAGCTCACCTCAACGTGGTAGGCACGTTACCATAATCGAATAAAATAATTCGAAGTGGTCTGTATTCTGTCGAAACTGCCAGACGCGGATCGCGATTTCGATCTTTTTGGATCTC